CTTTGCTGGCTTGATTTAAATAAATTATTTTTCATTGTTGCAACATGCAGAAAGATGAGCAGCTGTATGTGCAGACTAGAAATCCTGATTACTCATGTGGGTGTCTGTGCACTTCCATAGCCCTTCTCTGGGGGTTGAAGTCTGCAACCAGAGCTGATGTCATGGAAATTGGAGGAGAACGAAAAAATGAGGAAAGACCAGTGCTTTCCCAGAGGCATCCCACTTAATCTGCTTGAATTCTCATTGGTCACAAGCAAGTCATGTGACCAGATAACACTGGGAAAGGGATTGAAAATACAGATTGTGTTAAGTGAACATAGAACAATTTAAATAACATCAAAATACAAAGGGCAATGAAGCAATCCTATAAAAGTGGAAGACAGAGCAATCAAATTCTAGTTTTAAATGCTAAGAAAAGTTTTCAACTTGCTGCCAGATAAGCATCTACATTCTAAAGGCATTTCAAACATCTAAGCTGTGAATAGAATGGTAATAATAGAAATATAAACTGTTATAATGAAAACAAAGTTAGAACAGTGAATTATGGCTTATGAAGCCTCCTCTTCATTGACAGTCTCTTTGAAGTCAGAGTTTTACATAATGGAAAATAAGTTTCACAGATGGTAGGTTGTTTAAAATCTCCTAGGAAAGGGATCCAAAATAAGAAATTCACAATATAGGTTTGGCAAACATTTCCTACTTGTATATATCAGATTTTCAAGATTGAGAAGTATGCACCAGAAAACTTATATTATTTTGTGATGGTTAGCTTCTGTATAAAAGAAAACTCAAAAACAGAACTCCTCTTGAACTAGAATTGTAGCTTGTTTTACTCTATCTAAATGACAGTGCTATAGTGAGATAAATTGAAGTCAGAGTGACGTTTTTGTTTTGTTTGCACTGCCTACTTCCTCATTGATTAAATTCTGTACTGAAAAAGTAGTTTGTTTACTTTTTAGTATAAAGGAAAGTAAAATGTAAATTATTCACTTGCAATTTCTGAATAACCTTTCTATAAGGAAAATAATGTTTCAAAGTTTTCAAAACAGTCATTATTTTTTCTTTCACTGTTTAACACAGCTGTCTATACAGAGAATAACTGTAAAAGGAACCTTAGCCAAACACATGACTAAATGAACCTTCTGAACAAACTATCACTCTATTGTTTTTATCAAATTGATCTGCACTACTAAATTTTCAGCAGCTTGGAATAGGTTCTAAATATGCAGAATGTTATTGAATCTGTGAACATTTTTCAAGATTATGGAATTATTGATGTTGATATACACAGCAAAATTCTTCACTAAACTTTCTATCAGTAGTTTGACTTTCCTAGGAAGTAAGCCTATTCTGTCCAATGAAATGTGCCTAGCAATGTTAGAGTTCAAGTTTATCAGACATTTGAGACAGAAAGGATTCAGAGGATTATAAGCTCCATTTTCCTTGGTTGAAGCACATGTAATTATTTTCTCTTTCCCCTTTTGGAACCCCCTCAAGGGTCTCTGGTAAAATATTTTTGCTTCCCTGACAACTTTCTTCAAAATATACAAATGTGTTTATAATTGTCCTTGACCTTGAAGATAGGCAAGGGTACATCTTGTCCCTTAGGAACTGAGAGGTTAAGAAAGTTCCTAAGGTAATATAGCAAATGGAAGCAGAAGAAAGATGGCCAACATCTCAAGCTGACTCTGTAACCAGACTGTGCATTCTCCATGACATTTTTGAAAATGAAACAATCAGAATCTATTGTACTTTTAAGAAACACGAAGATGGATAATAATAGTGGATTAATTTTACTCAATGTCTTAAAAGGATATTAAAATGACATTTTACTCACTTTCATTTGGAGTGCTGAATTTGTTGATTCCAGAATTGCTGCATTGCACACTTATAGCCACTACTTGTTTAATAGTAGCAGACATTCTCAAACATCTCCTGGAAGGCAAGTTTGCCCCCACTTGAGAACTACAGCCTTTGATCAATTATTTGTTAAGAGTGTCTGCAGACTGATAGTCCTGGGATGAGCAACAACAAAAAACAGCAACAAAGACAACAATGATATTAGCTAACCTCTAATTACATAATTACATATGGCAAACCATTATACTTTTATTCATTCCTCATAAAAACTTAGAAGTCACTTACCATTTTAAAGCACATATTTCAAATGAGAACATTGAACCCCATGGGAATCAAGTTCTTAACTGACCAATATCAGACAGTCGAAAAGTAGCACAGCCAGGGTTTGTTTCCAAGCCATCTCTAGCACCTGTGCAATTATCTAGACAGTGCTGGCCTGTGGTTTCCAAGTTGTTAATTGAAAATTCAAATTGGAATGATAAGGATTATATTTAATTCATGATATTTATTAAGTATTTACATTTTCTCACTTACAAAATGACCTTTTGTCTTAATCAGTTGATGACAACCTTCTAATTATTTGCTAAGTGATTGTCCTCATAAACATCCTTGAATGAAAGCAAAGGTATTATTTTCCCATGGAAAAGTTAACCAAAATAACCCCAGGCAAATTCAGACTGTCAGGAACAGAGAAGGAAGGAGCATAACTCTGCTGGAGGGAGGTAGAAAACACGTAATGAAGGAGATAATGTCTGAATCGGGCTTTTTAATCTATGTGAGAAACTTGGGTAAATAAGCGTCTGCCAGGTGAAGGGATATGTAATCAGGGTTATAAGGATGTGTAAAAATATGGACAAGTGGAAGGATTTTCTATTTAGAGAATGGTAGGGGTCAGGAATGATAGAGAGGATAAGAATGAAGAGAAGGGTGGCTCCTACTGGCATTTAACTTCCTCTCTCAGGATGGCAGATAGCCAAGACACCATAGAGACGTGGTCAGGTGGGTATTTGGAAAAAGCAGCTTCACGGTTGTGATGAGACACCACAGATTTTGAATGAGGAACTTTTAGCAAGAGATAAGGAGTTAGGGTGGATCACAGTGTCAGACAAGAGAGTTTAACAAGGAGAGGAGCAGGGCAGTAAAAAAAAAAAATGCTCTAAACAAATTTTTTAAAAAATGTTCCTCTTTAGGAGCTATTAGAGTGAAAAGGGGGGATGTGTTTATGGGAGAACTATCTACAAAGCAAAATGGTGCACTGTCAGGGAAATAATATGGAAATAAGTTTGCTAACTATTTTTGGTAAGCTGGAGAATGTGCAGTTTCCACAGATGATCATCTGGAGCTTCTCACTCCCATTCAGATATCCCATGAATATAGACTACCTTGTTTGGAAGGTCAAAGCCGTGTTCCCATCTTACTAATCTGGACCACTGCACTTGTTCCATTCCTGGCAACATCAGCTGGAAACAGGAATCAACTTTGCTGGTGGCTCAACCAAATATATTAGAGAAATGGAAGAGCCAGCCAAACTTGTTAGGAGACACAGGTCCCAGATATTCAATAAGTGGCTGTTGAATGGTGAATGTCAAACTAATCAAATTTTTAACTTCAGTTACTTTTGACTTATGCATTTAAAATAAGAATAATAGAAAGGCATGAACATACTTCAGACCTACATGGCAATTTTTCTATTCCATCCTTCCAGTAAACACCTAATGGTTTACTCCCCTATCTCCAATGAAAATACTCCAGCATAATACCAAGTGGACTTTCATCTTTATGCATTATTGAATAGGTTTTATAACTTCATTATTTACATTGAAATTGAGCATTTAGTCCAGCATATTTAACCTTGTGATTTTTGTCAAGCGTTTTCTTCAAACTATACCATGAAGAGTCATTCTCCACATTTCAGCTTATGTAAGATGAGACATTTTATTTCATCATTGAAAGAAAGATTTTATGATCTCCTCACTAGAAGTTCAGAAGGAAAACATTTTATCTACTGTTACAACTTCTTCTGTAGTTGTGTCTAAAATAATAGTCATGTTATCTGCTGCTTAAGGCATACCAATCAAAGCCAGATCTCTTGAAAGTCTTATTTCAAATTAAAATAAACCTACTAAGTAAATATTCTTTACCCATATTCCAAATTGGCAGAAAGAAAGTATTGTGAAACATGGCCTCATAGTTCCCCAATTGTATTGCAAGGTTCAAACTTAAGTTCTTAGTCAGAAAATGCTTTCTGCTTCCTTTGACCTCCTGACTCTAGGTTTACCCCCATCCTTTCTATTTTATCTACATTTTATCATCAACATAACTGGTTTGTTGCTCTGTAGTATTAATTCGAAGACTCTTTCACCTTAGTTGTTTCCCAAGAATATCATTTTTATCACTATGCTTAAAGGACATGTTGGCTCTCCTGTTTTTCTCATAATAATCCAAACTAGATCCCACAGAGTAAGTTCTAAATGTTCAAAATTATAAATGTATGTTATTAATAATAACCTACCTGCCAACATGTTGGAATTCAGGCCACAGTAAAAATATTGTAACCTTAGCTTTGCGGAACCTAAATTTAGAAATTGTAACATATTGCCAAATTCAAGAAATAACTATTGACATAACTTTTATCACTTCATTTATAGCTAGATACATGTACATATAAAAATACTGGCAAAGTAGATATTTTATGAAACCAAATATAAAAGTTTATATAGTTGGCAAACAATGGCAGCCAGATAAAAAACTTTGTAATAAATGTAGTTCACTTCCCTAGCCCAAAACCCACCCCCAAACACACTCTCAAAAAATAGGAGTTATAGCCAAGCATTATGGTGCATGTCTTTAATCCCAGCATTCAGAAGGCAGAGGCAAGTGAATATCTGTGAGTTCAAAACCAACCTGGTCAACATTGCGAATTTCAGGCCAATTAGAATTATATGGTGAGACCCTGTCTCTCTCACAGACACAAAAATAGTAAGAGGTATATTTGATCCAAATCATAAAGATAATTGATTCAGTCCATTTCACTTGTGATAGCTGCTCTGTCCTACAATGAAAATGTATTGTCCTACCTACAATGAAAGAATTAACATTCTTAATATTCTTACACATTCCTTTTTATGTGAATATTTTAGGTGTACCAATATATGCATGAAACGATAACTGTTAATGGCTGTCCTGAATTCCGTGCGAGGGCCACAGCAAAGGTGAGACTTGAGTAACTTTAAAAATATACTTTACACCAGTGATCTAGTAATTGATTGTGCGCGTGTGTGTTTCAGGTATTCTCGTGTGTACACTGTAAGAAAATTTAGACATCAGTGGCAGCCCAGAGTCTAGAACCAGTACTACTTCCCAGGTAAAAATCCTAATGGAAAATTGAACGTTTCTGCTGCTTCTGTAGCTTAAGAAAGGAGAATGATTTCATTAAACTCACTAAATGTCCGTTTGGCACAAGCAAATCTACTGGTTCATCCTATAAAGTACTACATGGTTTCTGATGCATCCTGCTGATACAAAAGATTCTGCTGATACATACATTCGTTTCATGCATGGAGATTTATTCGCACAGGCCTAAAAACTTAACATGAGTTAGACATGAAAATAATTCACCTGGCACCACTGATCCTGGATTCTTCTTTGTGTTCAGCTGAGCAATGGGCAATTTGATGAAAATGGCATCGACCTAAAGGTGGCCTGACACCTTTTGTGGCAGTGACCACTTTTGTTCTTTAAAGACTTAAAATCGGAGATTATAGAGGTCCTACTAACGGAAAGGATACAGAAAGAGGATCATAAAATTTCCTGGAAGATGGACCATTAGGAAACAACAGTTTCAATCTAAAGTCATTCATGCAGTTCCTATTGCACACATACAGAAGTGTTTTAATAGAACACAATTTGCTTGTTAAAAGGCTTTTACCTTCCTAATAATGCCTAAGAAGTCAGAACTACTGAAAATAATCAAAATTTTCCATTCAATGCCTTTGCGTTACATTACCTGTTGTTTGATTTCTCCCCTGATATTTTCAGTTTTCATCTGTAACTGAACACTATAGATTTGTAAGTTTTTTTTTCCTTTCCTAAAGCAGGCAAAAGGAGGGTATTATTACCATTACATCATGCTTTGCTTGTACTGAAGTGGAACACACGCAGAAAAATGATCCCTACGTGGTTTAATTAAGGGGAAAGTGAATTATGTAGTGTTTTACCATTCTCATTTCTTATTCATGTAGAACAGCAGGAGAGCAGCATAATGTTGCAATAGCACAATATTTTCTGGTTGTTTCTGGGCTGTCTGCATTGCATCCATGTCAGCCATTAAAACCTCTGCATGACAACACAGTTTGCATGAGCAAATGCATGTAGCTAAAACCAAGCCATTATTTCCATGTCACTCACTATCTTTCATTAAATTCAGGCAGTAGCATAATGCTAAATTGATGTAATAATGCTGTGTGTGGAAAAAGAATGTACAGTAGTTCGAAATCAATATTTTCACAGTGTTGAGAGTAAATCACTTTATACTAGACATGTAATCAACTGTGGTTAAGGCAAGCTAATAGAAGTAGAAAACAAGAAGCAGGCAGAGAATTTTTTTCCTGATTGAAACTATTATTTTATTTCTGTGGGGGTAAGAACTAATGGTAAGTTGTCTTCAACTTAAAGAAACTAATAGGTGAATTTTGAAATGAAAGTATGACTATATTAAATAATGTTTTGAATATCTAGATATAAAGCCACAAACTGTTCACTTTGCCTATGTCACTGTACTATTTCAAATAATAATGTATTATGAAGAGAAAAACAATCAAAGACTTAATAAGAGAGCAATCATAGTAATATGAATATTGGTGTGAAAGAACAGTAACCTCCTTGAATCTATTGCTTCATTTTTTATTTTAGGTATAATAAGTTTAAACATTAAAAATGCTTCATTTAGTAGACCAGTGGTCCAGCAATAACAAGATTTTATGTGTATTCATAAGTGTATACATATATAAGTGCTCTTCTGTTTGTTGAGTATTTATGAATATTTCCATACAGGCAACAATTTAGACTCTTTGCCATACCAAAAGTGCCTAGCACAATCTGCTCATCAAATGCCCTTGGTCAACATGTATATGATAATTATAATGCTAGGTACTATTATGTACCAACTCTATTTGGAGTCCAGAAATAGGGGAATTTGCATCTACCTGAAAGATGTGGAAGTAGAATTTGTGTGTTTGTTTTCATGGTAGATGAGCCTTACAAAGCAAGAAATAACTAGATAGGAATCTTTATCAAAGAAAAGTGTCATATATGTCATCTACAAGAAGACATCCTGTGTTCTTCCTTCTACGGGAGAATGCTAAGGAGATGTATGAAACTGTCCCCCGTAGAGCATTGTCAGCCTTATTTCCCTCATTTTATTACCAAAATATTGTCTTTTCTTTCAGGCAACAGTTGCAGCTTTTGCAGCTAGTGAAGGCCACTCTCACCCTCGGGTAGTCGAGCTGCCAAAGACAGATGAAGGCCTGGGCTTTAACGTGATGGGAGGAAAGGAGCAAAATTCCCCAATTTATATCTCTCGCATCATCCCTGGAGGGGTGGCTGAAAGACACGGAGGCCTCAAAAGAGGGGACCAACTGCTGTCGGTGAACGGAGTGGTATGTTGATAAATGACCACAGATTTTCTTTCTAAGTACGTTTCTTGTCTCCCTCTTTTTCTTTCCTCTGCTACTAATGATGTCAGTAATGAAATTCTAGAACAGATCATAATTTTATATAAAATCGGCTTGGACTTGTTAGGTACTAAACCTTTGAGAGAAGTAATTTTATATTTTCATGTCTCATTTCACATTGCACAGGTGTGATAAATATCAACTACTTAGAAAATCATATCAAGAAATTATGCCAATACATAGAATTTCCCCTCAGAATACTGCCAATGAATTAATGTTTAAAAAAAATTATTTCGGGGCCAGAAAGATGGCTCAGTGATTAAGAGCACTGAGTGCTCTTGCAGAGGATTTGGGTTCAATTCCCAGCACCCACACAGCAGTTGACAACTGTCTGTAGCTCCAGTTCTAGGGTATCTAACACCTTCTTCTGGCCTCCATGGGCATTGCATGATATGGGTGCACTTACATACATGCAGGCATTACACTCATACACAAAAAATAAAAATAATCGAATATTTAAAAAAATAATTTCATGTTATTAAATAAATCATTTTTAAAAATTAAAAAAAATAATAATTTCAAAGCATTCTTTGTTCTAGTTACTATAAGCAAAGAGCTGAGTTTTTGTTTTTGTTCGTTGCTTGTTATCTTTGTTTGTTTCAGTGTTAGGCACTGAACCCCAAACGTTGTGCATAGTCAAGTACTGCACCACTGAATCGCATCCCTACTCCCAGTAGAAAATGAGTAATTCTCTCTCCAAAGCCTCTGTTTTTAATCAAAATTACCAATCTTAGATCGTAAATTTCAGAAATATAAACGAGACTACATCAAAATGTTCTTATATTTGTCTTTTCAGCCACAATTATTTATGCTTAAAACACAGTACTCAACATACATTTGCAGTGTAATTTTTTGGCGACTATGATGTAAAATTTTTCTGTGCATAAAGCCTTTCATCTTGTTTGATTTGTTTGTTTCTAAAAATAAAATAACGATTATTTTTACTACCAAAATAATAGTTTTATACTATCAAAAACTGTTCCCTGAACTCTGCTCTTCTCTACTGACATCAAAACTAGCAACCCATGAATATTTTATACCATCATACTTATTCTAAAATTATCATTTCATTTAATTTATGTAAAATTTTTTTGAGATAAGCTTTTTATTGACCTTTTTATAACTACCACTTTTTAAAAACTTGTTTCAAATGATAATTATAGAGCCCAGCTTTCTGGTAGAAGAATCCTGAACTGGGTCATACATTATGATAGACAGTAAACTGTGTCTCAAGCTATGCATTTATATGTCTGAGTTTACTGGGTAGAGAAAAAGATGTATAGGTTTAAAATTAATAAAAGTAGAGCAATACAAAAATCACTCAAATAAGTATATCATCATTGTAGTTATACAAAGTAACAATAACTATATACGACATCAATCATCAATTTACTGATAAATTGGCTTTGAACTACCTACCAGGGAGCAAACAGCCTCAGCTTAACCCACACATTTGCAGGGGGCACAGCAGTCAGCACTCACAATCAGGCATTCATTCCCTTGCAGTGGCCTTGTGATGAACCTGGGAAGCAGCAGGGAGCATTGGAAACATGAAATCAAAGAGGCCTAGCTTTACCACTCAATATCCATATTGTTACAGAGTAATATCCCCTGACGCAGAGCTTCACTAAAAGGAGAATGGTTATTGAATGTAATGGCACTGAGGAAAATTGGTGAGGCAACATATCCATTAGGAATCACCCTGTGTTAATTTGGACCTATATACCTTTGATAGGTAGTAGCGACCATTAGAAATTGGAGATGAGTGAGATTTTAAAATTCCAGTAATATTGTTTTCATTACTTATATTAAAAATAAATCCTAAAGAAAAATTTTCTATATATGTAGCTACTCCCACACTGTCAAATATTTATTAGCAAGAAGGCAGCAATCAACTCTTAGAACCTCTTTTGTGAATTTGATGAGGTTCCACTTCTCTGCCCATCCACACGTGCCAGGCATAACCTTGGAAGAGTCACTTGAGTCAAATGAGACTGTTCCAAGAACAAGATTTCTTACCTGTGTTTAGCCTCAGACAGCCAAAAATATTTTAAAAGTTGTAATTTAACTTTGATCCTGTCCCCATATTCTCACTAATTCTATGTATAGCTATAGCCCTCCCAAAGATTTTGATTCCCTGTTCTTGTTTCCAAAAGATTTTTATACTTCACATATACTTTCAAAAGCTATAATTTACTAATATTTTCCATTAGTAAAATATATCATGTTAGTTAACAAGTCATTAGTTACACCAAAGAAAATCAATTTCTGACACACTTTGCTAATGAGAAAGCATCATCTGTTCATTGCAGCAAGTGTAACAAGTGGTCTTGCACCCACCACAGCGAGACTGTTGCTTCTGACATAATGCTGGCTTACTACGCTTACTCTAGCTTGCTTTTTTAAGCTCTACAAATTGCAACTTAAAATGTTGCGCCTCCCTACAATCAAATGATTTGCTATAAACTACCTATTTTAAAGTGTTTAAAAGTAAGAGAGAAAACAAGCTGTTTACGTTTTCTCAGGTTCTCATATAATGGTAGTTTTCTCTGAATGAGAAGCGATGTGACCCAGTGACTTTTTCTTAGTTGCACAAATAGTACTTAATGCAATTCCAGAACTCTGATTTTATCTCTGAGTCCAGAGGTCCTTTCAGTATAAATAATTTGATGCACATAATAGTACTTAGTGAAAATTAATTATTTATAAGGAAATATGGTTTGGGGGCCTGTAATGGAGGGACCAAAACAAACCAAAGAAAAAGTGAACAAATGATCAGATCATTGTTATTTCTGCTTTGGAATATAGTGCCATTTGTGAAGATTCATACAGAAGATTTTTAAACATGTTATTCTAAACCAAGAACAAATTTTGAAAGAAAACAATTTGAAGGACTGAGGCAAACTCGATTTCAGTAATAAGTGTTCTGAGAACAATGTCCTACTCTACTACTTAAAAATCAAAATTTCCCATTTTCCTTTCAACATATGGAGGGCCATCTTAAATGAGGTCTTTGCCTTCGTTTGTTTTTTGTTTGTTTGTTTTGTTTTGTTTTGTTTTTTACATCTTGGTTACACGTAGGAATGATATGTCATGGTGCCTGCCAAAACCATTATATAGTAATAAAAACTGTTAATATAAAATGTTAGAAAATAAAGTTGCACAGAAAGGGGTATCAATAAATGAAACAAAGAAAAGATACAACAGTAGAGCAATTGATTTCTTTTTCTTTTAGCTTCTTGCAAGTCAAAACAGAAGAAAAATCAAAGTAGCTAAACTATCATTGACAGATAGTTTTTCCTCATTTCTAAGCTCAAAAAGAAATTTCCCATGGGATTCTTACAAATTAGACATTGAATCATCCATAACAATTTCAGAGAAA